CCCCACCTGCTGGTCACACTCTTCTTGATGCACCCCAGGATGCCATTGGCCTTCTTGGCCACAAGGGGATTTTTTTGGTTTTTTCGTTGGTTTTTTTTTTTTTTTTTTTTTCGTTTTTTTTTTTTTTTCTTTTCTTACAATCTGATCTGAAATGGTAATTTCTAATGAATTTCTGAGCAGAAATTGTGTGACTAATACTACAGCTTTTATCATTGCACTTAGATTGACCCTATGCATTGGAAAAGTTAAGACTGTTTTAATATAACCTGAGAGGGTGAAAGATCAGGTTGCAAAAATTCATTACCCAGTCTCAAATTTTAGGTCTTTTGAAGCTCTGTTAGGTACCAACAATGGGAAACCCTTTCTCCTTACCACTTCCACCATCTTCTTCTTGCCAGACTCCTGCTGTGCCTGGTAGCCAGCTTAAATTCTCAAATATGAGGACTTAGAGTTGATCTGTGTAGCGTTTAATCCTTTCTAAGCTGTATGCTCTGACTCTTCCTTTTCACTTATTTTGCTCTGCCAACCTATATCTTTCTTCTGTGAATATCATTATCAAAAGCATACAGTTTCAAGCTACTCACTCCAATCTTTTTTTTCTATCTATGTATATGTAGATATCTATGTTTGAAGTTCTAAGCTTCATGGAAGCAACACATACATTAGCAACCTCCCACTGTACTGAAAGTACTTCTGCTGTAAAGAAACCAGGAGCACACCAAAGAGTAGCAGTCATGGGTTGAAAAGGATGACCTGAAGATTCCGCCTTGTCCTCAGATCAAGTCTAATCATCATTGTCAGTGGAGAGGCAATGGTGCAATTTCTCTCATCTGAGACTAGACTTCTGGTCAGATGAATCACACCCTGCATCCAGTATAGATGTCTTAAAAACAAACCCTAAAATGACTGGCCTGTATGTTAGAAAGGAAACAGCAAGAAACAGAGACACACTGTTGGCCTGATTCATACCCTAATAATTAGTTCCCCTACTCATCTTTGAATAAGCTCTACTGCCATTTGAAAAAGTTGCAGCACTGTTTGGGTGTTCTTACCTTGAATATCAGGATAAATCACCATATAGAGCAATGCCCAACGTAAAGTAGTGGCTGTAGTTTCTGTACCTGCCAGAAAGAGGTCAAAAATAGTCTGGATCAAGTTTTCTTCATCATAAGTAGCATCAGCATCTCCTTTGGTCTGCAGATATGAATTGGAAAGATAAGTTATGGCACACAAAAAAGAAGTAAACCACCTTGCACCACAGAAATATTTATTGATACTATCCAAGATGAAAAAAAAATATATAATATTATGGGGCTAGAAAATAAAACTGAGTAGTAAGAAGATATTTTCTAATATTCTACACTATATTTTCCAATTTATCCTAACCACATAGACATTTTGGTCTTCAACTATGACAAAGTTATTAATTGTACATGCTTTTTACTCCTGCTGCAAATCCCTTCACAACAATCATTTTTAGCTGTACCTTAACCATATGCAAATCTACTATTATTGTGGGTTTAGATAATCTACCCATAAAATCTACTTACATTATTACTTTGTCCTCCTCCTGCCATCTCTTAGTGTCAGCTTTTTTTAATTCATCTACCTATAAGCTTTTCTATGGAGAAATCATATACATCTAAATCTCTATTAGATGTCATTATAATCAAAGGAGCATCTAAAATCCCCTGTTAGTGGACCATAAGAAGAATTCAGAGATACTCACTTTATCTATCTCATCCAAATAGTAATCAATAAAATCTTGATTTTCATCTGATTTTCGTTTTCCTTTATGGCTTTCAAGTTCCTTTGCCAATAGATTATTCACAAAATCTATGCTGGATACAGTATCTCTACATGGTGCTAGGAGACGCCTTGCAAGCCAGGGAACCATTTCATATATCTATAAAAGAGATATTTTAGATATGCGTTGTTACTGATATTAGCAAACTAAATTTGAATCCTAACACAGGCTTTTGGGTAGTGGAAAAAGCAAACGAAAGACCCTGATGATTGCATCTTCACCATTACACTGAAGGGATATTGCCTATCCCATGATTCATTAAAGCCTTTCTTAATTCAATTTTTCCCTGGAGCACAATTCCTCTTGGGTTTATGCTATAAATTTTCCACTGTGATGTACAAAGAATAAATTAAGTTCTTCTGTACCCCAATTATTTGCTAGACTGAACTTCAGCAGCAAGGACCTCATATAAAACCTGTCCCTGTTCTCATTTTACCCAACATATGTATCATGTCTCATTTCTATCTCAACACTAAAAAAACCAGACCTAGGCTGACTTCCTTGACACACCTGCTAACTGAAAAAGTAAATATCCAAACACAGGTTTATTTTCTTACTGTAGGGTGCCAAATGCATGGGGATTCTACTCGGATAGACCTTCTCAAAGATAAGAAACAAATATGTCACATCTGTGCAATATGCAAAACAACTAGATGATGAAGGAAATACTGAGCCGTGTGGGCTCCCTACTGTTTAGTCATTGTTTTAAACCTATCCACATTCTTGCACTTCTACCATTATAAAACAACATCTCAGCAAACAAGAAACAAAACTGCTTTTACATTCATTCCATTCCTCTACTTCATTTCCCTTTCTTTTTTCCCCTTTACAGATGGCACCACGACCTTCCATTTCACAGAATTACTGCAGCTTAAATTATGCATTAGGTCACAACTCTTGGGCTCACCTATTTAAATGGCAGCTGCATTACAAAGATTTATCTTTCCACAAACCTATTTATATTCCTGGCTTGTATTTCTTCTTCTTCATCCTGCATCATTTTGCTTAAAGCTACCTGTCTACTTACCAGGAAAACAGATTAGTACAGACCATCATTAAAGGATTTTACATCACTATGAAAGCACTGTGGAGAGCAGGACAGAATGAAATATTGGACTAGAGTGTTTTTGTTAGCTGTGGACACGCTATTAAGAGTTTTTAAGAACAGCTTATACCAATACCTAGTGAGAACAGTTTGGAAATATCTGATCCAGTGTTTACCCTGCTTAGAAACATAAGCAATTGAAGCAAGGTCTGAACTAGGCACCTGGAAGTACTGTTCTGATGCGTACTCCAGCAAGTCCAGGTGCACTGGTATTTATTTTTGTTATAAAAGTAACAAGCAAGTTGCCTTTTTCATTGTCTATCTATATAACATAAACAAACACAATAATTTTCCTCACAAAAAAAGAGATGCTGTTCCCAAATGCTGTTATAGTATCAATGGATTCAATCAAGCGGTGAAAATTTTCGTCGTCTTTAGAGAAGCGATGTCCAAAAATCACAGAACAAATCACATTTGAGACAGTGTGAACAACGGGCATAGTGGGGTCCAGAGGTTTTCCTGTAAACACAGTGAACAGCATTCACCATTAACACTTACTGCTCCTGCTTTTCCCACTGAAAGGAGAACTGATACCATTTTATAAGCACTTCTGATGTTAATTAGATTGCTGGATAGCAAATTGCAATTTATTGGCAAAAGACATGAGTAAAAAGTAGCTTCAGCCATCTAAAAAACACTGTTGGTTAAAAAAAAGACTGCTGGTGGGAATGGAATTAGTAAGAGCAAGAAAAATACCCAGATTTCACAAAACCTTGGCATCAGTAGGTCTCATGTTTGGCAATAACCAGGGTACAAAAAAGTTCAGCTGAGACATTGTATGAATAAGCAAATGAATTGAAAAGAGAACCACCTTCTGTTCTTTGCTGATATCCTTGGCTGCTGAATAACAGAATAATTGAGCATATCTATAAGATTCACCCCATTATTCAACAGCAAAATCTGACCAAACTTCCTCTCTTACTGGGGTGGTGACCACAAGCCGTGCGAGGTGAGCTTTTTCCACTGCACCAGAGCAGACCCATAGGGTTGCGTAGCCTTAGTCAAAGCTTTTTGTGCCTCCTTTTTCTTTTCTGCAGCGGGATATGGGCTGTTGTGACACTCATTTTGTCACTGTTTGCTGTTACTCTGATCCTGCAACCGTGAGTAATGTAAAACTGGCCAAGTAATGGCACTAATGGACAGGGACCATGAGGTCTCAGTTCTAAATTCATTCTGGGGGGGTTCACGTGTAGCACTTGTGCAAGGAAACATCTCATGCAGATCATGATACAGACTTCTAAGGCTCAGCTCTGCATGTAGACTTTAAATCTGGTTTTGTAGTCAAATAGTTTCAAAACCAACAAATGAACAATTCTTTGGCAAAATGACCCATTGCATAGCCTGACCACCATCCCGAGCCACATACCGTTTGTTTTCTTTAGGTATTCCACCAGGTGACCGGCCTCCTCTTGCAGTCGATACTCCTGGTCTTTTTTCCCTACTCCCATTTTCCTCAGTGTCGCAAGCCCAAACCGCCTCTGTTGCTTCCAGAGACGACCATTAGAGAACATAACACCTAGGATCATAATGAACAAATGCTAATAATGCTTTATAAATCAATGAATCGATGCAGTTGATAAACCAAAGAATCTTCTCTTTCATTCTAATTTTTTCAAATTTTTGCCATCAGTCTGGCAGCCTTCCTCTTTCCTCTCCTTTTTCTTCTTCTTCTAGTTCAGCCACCTATTTCTTGTATAGAAATTCTTAAAATAGCTCTATTCTGTCATTATTGTTCCAACAGAATAAAAAAAAAATTCATAAAAACTGACGAAAATATTAACCTTTTTTCCCCCACTGTAAATTAAGGACTGCAAGGCTATAAATCAGTTTCCAAAACCAGGGTTGGAACACATGAGAAGAATTTGTGAAAATAATAATTACCATTTCCCTGAGTCAAAATGTGAAAGGACTTGATTAATGGCCTTCCAGCAACATCTTCAGCATGGACAGTCAGACCTTCTTTTACTGCGTGAAACCCTTGCAGGACAACCATGGGCGTGTTTAAAAACCATAAAGTGAAGACATTACCGTGAGTTTTGGCCATCTGTAGAAAAAAGCAGCATCAGAACAATATGGGTAAGAACCAGTACATTTAAATCAACCAAGATGAACAGGATTTTTTCCCTTAGCAGATGCCCCAGGAATGACTGACCTTGAGAAGACAGCATCGAATCTACTCTTACATATAATCCAGCTTCAAGTCAGGTTTCTATCTAAAGTCTCATTTACTAAGGATCAGGATGCTCCTAAAACGTCCGACAGCCAATATTGCCAATGTCTGTGATGCTATTTATTGCACGTCTTACAATTCAAGTTTTTAAGAAGAAAACAGTAGCTCATGAGTTTTACATGAACCATCTCTAGATTCCCCTTCGTGTACCAAGTGCAGCAAAAGCAGCTGAGGAGGTGGGTGAGGCCAGATCACCCTCTCCTTTCCAGCTGAGCTGTGACAGCCTTGTCTTCATGATGCCGTGCACAGACATCACTAAAAGCAGGCAGAACATTCCTTTCCCTGGCTGGACAATCAGGAGCTGGAAAAGTAAAAGGCTGAGGGAAGCGCAACAGTGCGTAGATTAAAGTAGCAAGTCTGTGGGGCAGAGTAGGCTGGGAAGAGTGAGGAGCTGCCAAAACATCCCCCAGAACAGCAGGACTAGAGCAGTGCAAAATTTTGCCACCTGAGAGCAAACAAGAGGGACAGATGTGCACGCTGAGAAAAAAATTTATTCACATGTGCTTGCACGTTTGTGTTTAATTTAATTTTTTGAAGGACTAACTCATGGCATTTGAAATCCTGGGATTTCAGTATTGCTGAAGAGCAATGCTGCTCTCCAGGGTTGGGAGGTCAGAAATTGAAGAAAACACAAGAGGCAGGCACTGGCTGTAATTTTATGTTGTGGAGTCATACTACTTTGCCTTAAAAAATACTGCTCAGGAGAAGAGAACTGGTGGGCCAGAGAAGGACCAGGGAAAAGGAAGGTTGAGAGCAAAAAGTGAAAGTGAGGTGCTGTTACTTACATTTTTAAATGTTAAATATTTAATATTCACGTATGAGGAATATAAAGCTCTAGGATACAAATTCTAGAGGTGCTGTGCGTTACAACTGGACTTAGAAAAGAGACTGAGCATAGGCACACAATGAGTTAGTTCAGCTACTCAAGACCTCAGTCAGGCTCAGCAGACTGAAGTCGCTTGTGAAAAATCTGTCCAAGTTGTATATCAGAAAAAAAAATTAATTTTAAGATCTTTTGAAAAATCTGTTGAATAAGTATTAAAAAATTCATTCTTCCTATGCTGGAAACACACATTCACTCAGTAGCTATTTCATGAAATATTTCAAAACTGCCAGTGCAACAACAGTCAACACACAGACGTGCAAAACGCTGCACAGAATTAAAGTCTCTGGTTTAAAATGTATCTTTTTCCTATGTGAAAGACAGGAATATTACCATCAGTATTGTTTCATTCATATGCACGTAAGATTTTAATCACGTTTCATAGTAAGCTTGAAGTTTTCCTACCAAGAAACTGATATTTTAACAATCCCACCTATTTTTACATTTATACAATTTAGACTAAATCCCTCCCCAGCATTCAGAGTACAACTATGTTAAACACTCACATTTACTTTTCAATCAGTTTATAACTCCATTAATTCGTTAACTGAAAATACATACTTTTTTAAGGATCTCATGGTGAATTTGGAAGTTCATCTGCAGCAGATTTCCAAACAAGGGGTACGGAGTTGGGCCAGGAGGAAGTCGTCTTCGGATCCATTGCAATTTCAGGAACTGCAGAACCAGCAGAAACACCACAAAAGATACCAGCAGCACACTGGCTGTTAACATTTCACTTCTGATTTACAAGGCTACGTGGTCTCTGAAAAAACTGATATATAGAAAGTGGATAGAAGCACTTTATCTTGCTTTGCTGGTACCTCACTAAAAAGAGAAAAAGATGTTGAAGCTTCTGTGCCTCTCAGTCCTTCCCTTTTTATCACTTTACTTCCTCATCCCAGAGAGTGAAGTGTTCTTATTTTTAAGCATACGTGACATCATTCCATAATATTGCAGCTTCAAATCCGACAATTGTCAGCTCTTCAAGGGATACAAAATGTGGGTTAATTATATGCCTCCTTGTGCCATGACAGTTGCTGTGACAAAGATCTCAGCCCACAGTACTGGTTTCATAAAAATCCCCTTGCAAGAACAGATTGATAAAAAAAAATTTCCTAAGGCTTGGCTACACACCCAAGGCCGGTGGGATTAAAGAAAAGTTCAGGCCCATCAGCAGCCATCACGTGCATCAACTGCTTGCACGGCTCCTTCACTCACCTCGTGTTATTGCTTGATTCTGATGCTCTCTGCTAGTCCTTTAATATTTTATCCCCATGGTTTAAATTGTAAGCTCTTTAGAAGGTGGCCAGACCTTTTGATATTGTGCCTAGAGCACATAAAACAAAAAAGGCTCTAATCTGCCATTGGGTAACAAGAGTTTGATGGTTATAATGGCATAACACCTGAGCCTCCCCACACTCCCTGCTCAGCTGCACAGACAAGTGGGGCTGCAAGGTCTTTGTGACCAAGTAGAAAGCAAAATTTCTTCACCCTCTCCAGCTGCCTCTCAGCTAATTCCCACCCTATTGCTTGCAGCAGGAGCAAAGGTGTCACACAAACTGTCCTCGTGAGCTGCTTTCACAAGCGCTCTCCTGCAACTGAGCAACCCCATTTGGGAGCTGTGGACTGCTTTTCCTTTATGGAGACAGAGCCCATGGCCCTGCAAAGGGGCTCATTTCGGACAACACGGCTTTGGCACTTCTTCAGCCCTTGCTCAGGACCAGCACCAGCTTAAGCTCAGCTCATCTGGTGTAGACAGGAGCATGTGACACACTACGAGGTCACCTAGATGGCTTAGCTGGTCACCTGCGTGACTTACAGAGCTGGCACAGCTGAAATAGAAGTCGTGAGGTGTTAAGCAAGTTGGTTCACTCCAGAAGCAGGGCAAGGAGCTAACATTTACAGAGTCTCGCTGGCCAGAGATTGAACTGAGAGCCAGGATCGAACTGAGAAACTAAATTACCCACTTCAGAGACCACTTGTGTGACTTACAGTTCCTTCACCTGTAGTGTTGCCCTTTTCTCTGCCTCAAACCACTCCCCACACTGAATTTAGCATTTTCCAAAGTCTCCTTGGGAGGTGGAAGAGTCACAGTTGTGGCTGCAGCAACTGTTCTGGGACAACATCGCAAACAAAACCATTCCGTCTTTCCTGGGTATTCTCTGTGAGGACAAAGACAACACAGACAGTGATTTCCGATGTGAAAGTGATGTGCTTGTTACTGGGATTTTCATCCCAGGGATGTGACAAAACACCAGCTGCAAGTGCCCAGCTCTCATATGCAGAGGGGTAGCATCGAGGCTGGTATCACAACTTCACCGTTCGAGGGCACGGCTATTGTCCTGCAGATTCTCATGCCCCCAACCCCTCCTGGGTAGGTGTTAGCCCGACCACAGGGACCAAGCCCACCACAAGTCACTCTCAAGATCTCCGAGGACAACCTACAACACCTTTCGCACTGGACAGGGGCAGGGGGAGACTTTGAGAGGATCAGCCCAGGCTCCAAGTGAGTCCTGAATAGCATGGTCTCTGCCGGCCTCCACATGGACTCCGGCCCAGGGCACCTGTGCTACACGGGCTGCACGGCCTATCAGTGATGCTTTTCCAAGTGTCGTTACACTCCCAGGATGAAGGAAAAAGTAACAGACTCCATATGTATTGCTGGGAGAAGGGATGTGAATGTCTTCACAGCCCCCAAAGCTCTCCTGACTTGCTCACTTGTAACCTCATCTGGTTGCTCCATCCCTTCTGAGCAATCCTGGCTGGCGGTTCTGCATCTCCCCTGGCTTGCCAGGCTCACTCTGACTTCTCCACACATCTTAGCCATGTTCTGGTGATTGCACCTCGCAACACTGATCACTCACCTCATCTTGGTCCCAGTTCTTCAGATCAACCCCATGAACTGTCCTTATGATACTGAGCTCCTTCACAAAGACAAATATTTTTATTTAACCCACAGCATCACATTATAGAAAGAAAACTCTAACATGGTGGATTAACGAGGCAATGAAAACTAACCCTTGAAGTACAATTGCAGTAGCAGTAATTGCAATAACAATTGTCTTTTCCTCAAGGAAGGAAACTGGAAGAGCAACAGAGCATTTGCTACATCCACCAGTAGCCTTCACTCTGACCTCAATTTTTAAATCTTGCTGGGTAACAAAGCCAGCCTCCCGGTGCTGAGTGGTTTCTGGCACCTGCTCGTCACCAGCCCTGCCTGGGCACTGCTCCTGCTTCTGCCAGGTGCTCCTCACACATCTCTTCCCCCCGACACACACACCTTGCTGCAGTGAGCTCCCTGAGCTCGGCAGCTCTGCGAAGCCTCCCTTGGCTCGGAGGCTGGAAGGCTGCGTGAAACTGCCCCCGTGCTCACTGAAACCACTGCATCAGTTTCTCCTGCCCTGTGACCCCTCTGCAAGGGCCAAGCTTTGCTTCCCAAGAGCGCAAGCAGTCCCCTAAACTGAGCTTTCAGGCATCAATAGAGAGACGTGGATGACCTGGACTACTGTACACCATTATCACTGCAAACTCCACTGTGTGAGAGGACCCCCTCTCTCATAGAAGTGTCTCTTAAATGCACCATAACAATACATGCAAAAAGAACAACAAACAAATAAATAAAATCAAAACAGAAAACAAAACTAAAAAACCTCACACCAACCACATTTTCAGGCCAACCTATTGGTCTGTTACCATTTACACCCACTTTGCTTCACCAGCAGAGGTGAAATGCTCTGCAACTCTTCAGCAGGGAATATGAAGGGTTTGCCTTCACTGTCAGCCTGAATCACCAGCCTCACGCTGTCATGTCCACACGGCTCTTGGCTAAACAGACAAACCAGCTGGGTCACACCTGGCTGAGGTGTCCCCCCACAACAGGTCCCCCATGCAACCATCCCCAGGGGCCCTGGCAATGCCCAGGGCCACCACCTCCGGGAGGAGCATTCCTACACCCCGCTCTAGATCTGAGAATGCATGGGAATGAGGGGAAGGCCCCCCCAGTACCTGGCTTTAATGTTCCTTCTCCCTCCAGTAAGATTCCTGTTGAGTCTCTAGTAAGACCAGACACAATAATAATTTTCTATGTTTATTTCATTTGTAATACAGTAGAAAAAAAAAAAAAAAAGAAAGTGTACAGAGATTTTCCAGACACAGGAAAACTGGAGTATTTTTCAGGGCTGGCTTCTTAGACATCTAACACAACAAGGATAGATTCACACTGAATTTCAGCTAGAAATGAAAAACACAAGAGCTGCTCAAAAGATCAGCACGCTACCAAACCCGTGGCAATGCCTCTTTCTCAAATCTGTATTACCCTGCAACCTAGCGAAGAACCGCACAGAGCTTGTACGGATGGGGTTTCATTGTGCTCCCAAAGACAACACTTGTGTTGACGTCCTTAACTCCTTCTGGTAGGGTGAACTTGAACGTCTGCAACAGGCTGCAAAAGATGATGAAAAGCTCCATCTTTGCCAGCACCTCTCCCAGACACACACGGTGGCCTGCAGAGGGAAAAGGGAAGGAGCAGTCAGTCTCCACAGAGGTCTGTACCCAGCACCTGCTTCCCAGCTTTCAAGAGCATTGCTCAACCTCATCAAGGAACAAATGGCTTTGCTGAATTTGACTTTTTCCTCTCAGATGGAAGTGACGGAACACTTGAGATGTCTGCAATGCTTCTTTGCGGGATCTACCCAGATTATAGAAAAAAAATACCAGAGATGCTTCTTGGTAGTTTCATACTTCACTTCCTAATCTATAGGTCTCCCTGATTCTGCAAACTGAGTTCCAGTCTCTTGATTCCAAATGAGAATGACAAGAAAGCATATTTAGGTTCCCTCACAGCTTCCACTTAGTACGTGCTGACTTTTATTCACTAATAGCAGCAAAAAAATCAGAATACAGAGAGAAGACATTCTACATGTGACTAGAAATTTTCCTGCCTAATTTTTTCAGTGAAAACAAGCTGTTAAAGAGAGAAAATTTCCCCATCTATCAATCAGCTGTGTCCAGGATACAATTTCCAGCCAGAGAAAGAGAGTGACAGACCCTGATGTGTAGTTGTTAGGCCATTCAACTTGCTTGTGAGAAACCAGTGTTCAAATTTCTCTTCTGCCCAGTTTAGGCCAGAAATCCGAGCCCAACACTTCCACATCTCAGCTGAGCTATTCCATCCCGGCATGATCCCCAAGAGCTTTTCCTTGTTTAAATTTCTATAAAGTCACACACTGGGTGAAAGAGTGACTCCAGAAGCTCCCCAGGAAAGACATAGCCATTGGGGATCTATTTGATTCAGCTTCAAATTTCTGTGCTTATGAATGTTGAATTATTTACACAAAATAAATCAGGTCCAGCAGAGCAGCCTGCCACAGAACAGCCACTGGAATGGCATAACCTGGCATATGCAGAGGGTGACAGAGGACATCAGCGTAAGGACTCGAATACCAAAATTATTGGCAATTCTAGGGCCTTATTCCTTTTATCCTCTCTGCATTTTTATAAAAAACTAAGATCAATGGTTTACACAATTACCAAACAACTTAATTTTGCAAACAAACATTTTTTCTGGGCTGTGAAAACCACGTGCTCCTATAGTTTGGGGTCACACTCCCTTTGGCCTTTTCCGCAATGAAGATGATGCAGCTTCACACTCACAATCTAACCCCACAAATGGGTTCAGTTATCAGTGTACCCACCTGCTGAGAAGGCTAAGAAGGCCTCTGGGATCACAAAATTCCCATCTTTGTCCAAGAAATGACCAGGGTTGAACTGATGAGGGGTCTCCCAGTAGCCAGGGTCAAAGAGAGCTGAGTCTATGTTTGCCATAACCACAGTGCCCTGAAAGGAAGATGCTGTTGGCTCAGTTCTGTCTCTCACACATCAAGAAGAAAAGGACACAAACAGAGTCCAGCTACAATTCAGCACAGCACTGGTCACATAGAGCCGCAGCAGAAATTAAATATTTTATTAGGAAAAACAATAAATTAATCTCAAACTGTTCTGAGGGTTTTAATAAATAAGAAAAACTTCAGTATTTCAGGTTTGGAAATTTCCCTACTGTATTTCTTCATGTCTACTTTTTTCCATTCTGTTAGGAAATGCAACAGAATGAGTGGTCTGCACTTCTTTAGTACCTTACCCAAAATCCCCAAAATCTAGTAAAATGGTTTTCCCGCTTCTGACAAGCTCTGACAGGTTTTGACAAATGAGGGACAAAGCACCCTGGAAATGAAATCGTATGTTCCAAACTCTCTTTTTCAAGGTGGAGGTGGGAAAGGTGTGCATGACAAACACCATGGAGCAGGGTGTGCAGGAAGATGCCTCCGTATGTGCCTTTGGGGAGGTTTGGCATTGAGGTTCAGTTTGGAAAGGCTGGACTAGTCGATGAAACTGGCAGAAGCTTTTTATTTGAGGTTAGGTGGCGGTTCAGAAGCTGGGGGGAAACATCTTCATTATATTTCAAATATGATGCCAGAGCAGTAATAATAAGAAAAAGAAGTTCTAAGTGAATGAAGTTGAGTAGATGCTTGGTATTGTCTCAGACATCACCAGTGAAGAAAATATTTCATAGCCCATTTGTCCACATGGCAGACAATATCCGAGCATTAACAGTCTGCTGCACCTTCCCTGCAGGCACCACTGTACATTTCTAATAAGTCTTCTCTGAGGTCTTTTGAAAGTATACCAGCTCAAAAGCTTATAAAGTATTTCAAAACCACAGGCTCTTGGAAAGTAAGACTCTGCAGCACTCTCACACAACACTAGTTTAATTGGTGTGAAACTGTGCTTTTGGCAAGTATTTTCACTCACTCTCTCTGAGACAAAGGCAGAGACCATAGGGCATGGGAGGGGAGAAATGCTGTCACCAACACCCACCTGTCCTGAACTGGAGGGCAAAGGGGTTAATGGTAAACATGACTGCAAGGATCTTAATTCATGGCCAAAGATCACATTAGAACAGAAAGGACATCTGTACCTTTGGAAGCCGATATCCTAAAACAGTTGTATCCTTCACTGCTTCTCTAGGAATTGTGATTAAAACAATGCTACCAAAGCGCATGATCTCATGAATCACAGCATTTGTATAAGGCAGTTTCTTCCGATCCTCGTAGCAGATTAGATGGGAGGGACTCAGAACAGCATCTAGCTCCTTCTGGACTTTTTCTGGGGCAAAAAAACCCAAAAAGGTACAAGAACACTGATTTCCATGAAACAGAGCTTTCATTTCCTTTTTGGATTATAGTACTGATAGAAAAAAATACCATAAATACCATATGTAAAGAATTTATACTTACCATATCTTAAAATGTAATTACATTTATACAACTATCTACTTGTGATCTTACTACATCCTAGTATTCCTAGTTTATAGGTTCTATGTTCAGATCATCTTTCCGCAAGCCCGACAATTTATTGAGCTTCATAGTTAAAGGGGAGCGAATTGTAAATAAAACAAGATCTTCTTTATTAAGAGATCAATCCAGTTACTCAAGCTATTATTTTTACTCTAGCTAAATACAGCCTCACAGCACACTAACCAGCATGTTGCAAGGGAGCCATCACATGAAGCTGAAGCACACGTAATGCTGCAAACTGGAACAGGATAGTATTACCAAATCATCACAAATCTTTTTTTTTGGCTGTTATCTAGGCTTCCGTAAGTAACATGGCTCATACAGTCTCAGAGGTTCAGGGTCAAATTTCATGCTTAAAATTAAGGTTAGTAATCTAAGAGGTTTTGTTTGCTATTTCATTAAAATTTGAAAGGCGTATGTGTGCATAAGGCTCTGTTCTTCCAGCATTCTGTCACCAAACCCATGAAAAAAAAGGATTTCTAGCTCTAAACCCTGGAGTCAAGAACTCCTGGCTTTGCAATTCATCACCTCTGACTGCCCTGTATCAAATAATTCAAAAATTTTGAAACTAGTGTGCATTTATCCCTTTGTCTAGAATTTTCAAGTCATCTTTTTGTCTTTCCATTAATGTCTTCCTTCTCTGTTTGACATTCCCATGTTACATTAAATATACTTATTACATAGAAATACAATTTGTGTCTCAGTTAATGAGTGCAAATAACATATTCTTACTACACATTCTGGACACCAGAAAAGCATCACTTTTCCCTAACCCAAGCTGATATTTCATGTCAAGTCTTTTCAGACGGACTGTATCATCCACTGTATTCGTACAGTACTGAAACAGTCTGACAAAAATCAACAAGACAAAACACAGCATCAGAAGCTGAATATCCCTGAAAATATTTTAAAATCTGTCTGAAAATTTTCAACTTCTGTGGCTTCTTAAAAGCAAAGCTCAAAGATGTGATCAAAAAAAAAAAAAAAAAGAAAAGAAAAAGAAGAAAGCTTGAGCATTAAAACCACTTGATCTTAAGCAAAAAAAAAAAAAAAGTGTAACGGACAATTGTTCTACTCAAAACATGTCCATGTCCATGTCTACAACTCACCTTGGATGTCAGGATAGGCCACCATATAGAGCAGAGCCCAACGCAGAGTGGTGGCAGTGGTCTCTGAGCCACCCAAGAAAAGGTCAAAAACAGACTGCACCATGTTGTCTTCATTAAATGTAGAATTGGGGGTATTTTTAGTCTGCAAGTGTCAATGAGAAAGGTAAAATGGAATATAGCTGAGTAACAGTTAGCACTGAGACAGACAGCAATCATTATTCCTAAACAAGCAGTATTTCTAGAGGACAGAGAAAATAGAGGTGCTTAATTAAAATAAAGATTTTAGGAAAATCTTGCATAAATTTATTGCTACTGTTAAATTGCAGGAGCTGTTGAAAGTGTCAGGTATCTAAGGTCCTGTTATGCTGCTTTGTAGTGTGACTCGTTGCCTTGCTGCTAACTTCCACCTCAGGAAGAAAAACATTTCAAAGTAGTTTTATCCCACCCTTGCCACTCTCTGCACACTTGCTGATTTCAGCTATTGCATACATAATATGTTACTATTTTAAAAGATTGATGCTTTTTTTCAGAGCAGACTGGCATCATTTTAAGACTGTTGTGGTAATCATACAGTACCTCTAAGCACACAAAAACTCAGTACAAAGCACAAAGATAATAAATGCAAATATTAATAAGACACAAAGAATCAGAATTAGACAGCCATCCAAATACATGCACCTTCTCAATGTCCTCCCTCCCGCCCACTGCCCAGCCTGCACTAGGGATCCACAGTATAATAACAAACCAATGCAGTTAATTTATGCTTCTAAAGCAAGTTATTAAACTAACTATTTAAAGTTCAGATTTTAATTTGACAGCAGAGTTTTTAACTTGAATGTATAGAGCTCTGCAGTAACATTGCCATGTACAGACAACTGCAGGAAAGGTGCAGGGAATCCATTACAATAGGATCTGTGTCACATCCCGGCATAAATTACTAACTTTCTCTATCTGATCCAGGTAATAGTCGATGAAATCTTCTGGTTCATCTCTTGTGCCTCTTTCCCTGTGGCTTTTGATTTCCTGCCTTACGAAAGAACGAACAAAATCACAGGAAAACGATGCTTTCTTCACAGGTCCCAGGAGACGCTCCGCAGCCCATGGGAAAACTTCACATACCTTTGGGGCAAGCATTCAACAGAGAGGCAGTGAGCTACGTGACATGGACAGGGCCATTCTAGAGATACAGCACAGACATCTTTGGAGCTAAATTGCTGAATTAGTTTCTCTAGGAAAAATACTGTAGCATCAAAGAGATATGTTGGATACATGTTGAGTATGTGAACACACATTAAAACCACAAATTTAAGACAAGACAGTTTCCACCCTGGATTTTTTTCCTATCCTTATTGTATAACTCTACTGTATTTGTCCTATTAATTCACCAGCAAAAGAATCCACTTGCACAGATAGATTCAACATGTATTAATATTAATAAATTTAACATTAACAAACTTTTATATATATTACTTTAGCACATAGGAAAAAATAATTCTCTTTTATTCTGATACACAGAGTATCACCTTTCCACCTTAACAATACTGGTGTTTCCATTACAGAAAAGTTCACCACCCCAAGCACATTGCAGTTGCTGAGAAATTCTAATAAAATTACTAATATAATGTTAATATAATGGTTGGATGATGCCAAACACAAAGCACTGCAGGTCCAGTTCATATTCATAGTCAGAATTTTTTTCAGCATTTAATATGTATTGAATAATGCGAGAAATATCACTATATATAATGTAATTATATTGCTTAATAGTGGAATAAATAGTGTGCTCAATAAAATAATTTGCATATTAAATAAGTCATTTTCTCACATAGTAAAAGTAGCTGTTCCCAAAAGCCACTATACAATTGTAGGCCTCGATCAGCCGGCGGAAGGTTTCATCTTCCAGGGAGAAACGATGTCCAAAAACCACAGCACAGATCACATTGGAGACAGCGTGAACAATGGGGAAGGAGGGGTCCACGGCTCTCCCTGCAGAGAGAGACAAGCATTCATCTCCAAAGCACTCTACCTCCTTTGCTATTTTGGAAGCAAGACCACATTTTATAATAGGTGTCCTCTATGCTATTTAGACTGTTACACTGAAATACCCAAAATTCACTGGCAAACATAACAAAAGATAAACCTCATTCAAAAATGAGGACAGGAAGGCCTGAAGGCTTTCACTCCCAGCATTTGGTGGGGGGGGAGAGAGGAGGGTTGCCTTCTTTCTCTCTCTCTTTTTTTTTTTAAATCTTAATCTTGGTGTTGATACCAAAACACACATTGCTGAGGTCTGACTGTACAAACAGTTTTGACTGCACTCTTAATCTAAGCTGTGCTGCAAACCCATTCTTTTCTGGATCAAAACCAGGTAGTCCTTACCCATAGAGTCCCACAGACCAGAACTGTGTCCAAGCCCAAATGCAGCTCCCAAGCACCTTGCCAATGACATACCATCTTTGTCCCTGAAGAACTCGACCAGATAACGGGCCTCGGTTTGTATCCCACGCTCCATTCCTTTATTCCCCATTCCCAGTTTTCGAAGAGCTCCAATTCCAAAATGTCTCTGTTGTTTCCAGATGAGACCATTTGAGACCAGGATACCTTCAGCCATCAAGAATCAATTTTATGTCACATTAGTGTTCATAGAATAGTAAAGGGCATACACACACAGAATTATCTTCTCATCATGCTGCCACTCATAAAAAAAAAAATAGAACCACATCAGGGCAGTGTTCATTTAATTGCATTTTGTTACAGACAGAGAAACCACCTTGGTTAATATATTCCCACCCCTGCAAAAAGCCCACCCAAACATCAGGACTCTCACACCCACCCTTCCAAAACTAGTCCTGTTCTTTCTGAAGAGCAGTGGTCATTACTTGACACTCCACCCAGCAGCCTGCTACTAGTTGCAGAGATGGTGTGGGTTGGTGTTGCCTTTGCTTTGCCCATGCTTTGAGCAGAAATGAGTATAAACCCTCATTGCAGCAGAAAGGCTAATAGCCCAGCTCACGCAATCTCTTACAAGATCTCATTTATTATCTTTTACAATCTTCTAACACAATTAATACTTACTTGTAAGCTATGTTTGCCAACATCCCCATGCGGACATTGTGATACTGCAGATGCTGCCGCGTGTCAACTCTGCAGAAGTGCAGCAAAGAGCTTTCCCTCAACAAACAATTAAGTTCAGTTTTCTACTGCCTAAAAATATGATGGTGTCTCACCAAGCTGTTCATAGCCAGCAGATTTCTGGGGAGCTCATTGGGAAGATCTGGGTGTTTCCTATGTTTGTGCTTCTTAACCTTACGCAAACCTTCTGGAGATCATCGCATCTCCCTGTTGGTAGTGCTTCAAAAAGGAAAACTCCTTAATGGCTGAGTCTATTGCTGGTTCTCAGCGCATGTTGTCTGTGCTAGCACAGATCCCTTTTAGGGAATTCTACTTCTACCAAGCTGTTTACACCAGGTATTGAGCTCTTGTCCTGGTCTAGGTCCCTCTTGGAAAGGCAACGAAGCCAGGGCAAGAACCACCCAGCAAGAACCAGAGTAGGAAGGGCACGTTTTAGCCAATCTACAAATAGCTTCTTAGGTCCAGAGGTGTCTCTGTGGGACAGGAAGGAGCCCCAGGCCCCTGTGCTGTGAGTCTGTGTTCTAGCAGACAGTCCAGCACAAACCATTTCATCCACATGATGGGGAACCTCTTCCCTCCACCAGTCTAGCCCATGCTACCCCTGGGAAAGCCAGCTTGCTTCCCGAGACAGCTGCTCGACCACAGTCTGGAATAACTCTCTCCTATTCCTTCTGTTGTCCTGGGAGCCCAGGATAGCAGAAAAGCAGCCAGCCCAACAGGCAGCTATTTTTGTTGCAGAGTTGCCAGCTGGCAGATGTGCTGCAGCTGTTGGTTAAAGCCATCCCAGCTACAAACTGCTGGTGCTAGGGCAGCTTGCAACAGCCCAACTACTTTACTCCCCATCACCCAGATAAAAGGTGACAAGAACCTTCAAAAATGGATTGAAATGGCCCCAGGCCTAATTTCTATTACTTAAAGTTGTTTTTCTCTACCTACATTAGCTAGTATTCTAAATTAAAGCTCTCCAGATTGTAGTCCACATGCAACAAAGCCTGACTGAGAATAAAGGCTTCTGCTCTGTATCCTCTGAATAAAAGGCAGGTGGAAACAAGTTCAGTCATTTCTGTTTTAAATGCAGCATTGTTCTCCATCCACCATAATTCAGCAGTGTCTGACGTAAATGATAGCACAATAAGAAGCTCTGAAGAAGGATATGTTGCACCTACAGTCTGGCTAATACTTTTAAAGCTCCAGTGACCTTCCTGTGCCTTCAGACTTCCCAAAAGGCTAGACTTCGTTCAACACCTCTGCACATGCTTTCCTTACAGCAGCCTTTGCTGTAAGCAAACAACTAGGAGCATAAAGAATTACTTTAGCCTCAGCTTGCAGAGGAGGCTGCAAGCTCCACATTATTTCACATTAGGACATATGCTTAGACAACGCTACAAATGGAAAAGCAAGACCTAGCTAGGTATAAATATTGTTGCTCTGATGAGATTCTGAAATACATGTCTGAACAATGGAACTTTGGAGACAACTTAGAATAATGCTGCAGAATTATATTATTCACCCTGAGCAGGCAGGGCAAACGATGTAACAGACAGAACAGGTGAATTTGGAACTAAGGGCTTGTCAGTAAGGAAAACACAGAGGAAACAAAGTCAAGGATATCTCCCACAGACATGAACATCTTACCCTTTCCATTTGCCATTTTGTTGAAGACATAGGTCTGTAATCGCCCAGAAACATCCTCTGAGTTGGTGGTGAGACCATCCTTCACAGCTCGGAATCCATACAGCACCACCATGGGTTTGTGACCCAGCCACAGGGTACAGATGTTGCCGTATCTTTTTGCCAGCTGTAGGTTAGATCAATGCCCAAAAAACACCCATGAGAGAAACATCAACCAAAACACACAGGTGATGGGGTGCTCTCTTCCAGCTTGACCTTGCTGAGGCATTCAGGAAGTGAAAAGGGATGGCGATTTTGTTTTGCAGTGAGATTGCTGACCACAGTTCTGGTCAGGTTCTGGTCTCTCTCTGGGAAACCTCTATTCACAGCAATGTGAATGACAAAAGATGTTCTTCCCCTTTCTAAAACTTGGCTTGGGATGCCTTTGCAATATTAACAATTATGAACACCCCCCTGACTGTTTACAGATCCATATTTGGTTTCACATGAAATCAAGAACGGACAGGTGAAATTTCATTTTTCAACTCCATATTTCATTTCCTCAGCCAACAACTAGAACTTCTTGAAATTACGTATTCCAGGTGTAACTCTCCTGGTACTGCAGATTTCAAGTTTCAATGGCAGGATCCCTTCCCCTCTTCTACAGAAGTACTACCAACTGAGCCATCTGAGCATGGATCCAAACTTCTGCTTGGCTAGTGATGGGGACTGCTCTCAGAGAACCCTGTGGTTGGTTATTTAGCAAGGACAAAATCCTTGACTCCAGGCAAAGAAAGAGTACAGCTCTGTCCTCCCACAGTGATGAACCTGTACCTATCAAAAAAGTTTAACATCAAGGTCTTTTAAGTTCCCTTTTCCTGAAGCCAATGTTCTCCAGCTGCAGCCAGGAAGCCCCTGACATGCAGGTTGCACCTAAGGAAAGGTTATGACTTGAAAAATGTATCAATACATTGGATTATTTTGTGAAGTTTTGGCTCAGTGGAGGACTGAAAGAGGAGGGCTCAGTTGAGCACTGAAAGAACCCGTATTAACATGCTTAGCATGGACCTATTTCTCCCTGTCAGTTCTTTCCTTTCACCGTCATTTACATCCTTAGCTCATCTGCAAGGAGCAATTCTCAGACTGGACTTCAGAAAAACAACGGAGTTAAGGTTTTGGCTGCATATGGGATGCAATCTTTTTTCCATCCCATGATAGCAGGCGAAATACTGGTAGGCTTTTCACATCTTCTGAATTCGAGACAGCTTGTTTTAGAAGATTTCCTGCACGTGCCTGTGGTGTAAAATCTGAGAAATGCTTTTTTCTTTCAAGGCAAAGAGATTCCCTTAAAAACAGACGTCTTTTTTGAGACAAAATTACTGTCCTCAGTTCTGCTTAACTTGCACACATATTAGTTTGCACATTAATTAGACTTGTGGCAGATTTTACTTAAATTGCTTAGGCACTTAACTTCCGCTCAGGATTAAGTTCTCCCAGCTACCACATCAGCCTGTAAACAGCCATCACTAGTTTTTACAGCTTTTGCCTCAATAGCTCTTTAGTTCACATCCACAAATGCATACCTTTCTCAGGTTCCCATGATCAGCTCTAAATTTTATCCGCCAGAGGCCTCCAATGATGGGAAACGGGGTTGGTCCAGGAGGAAATCCACGACTTTTCCATTGCATTTTGAGGAACTGCGCACCCAGAAGAAACAAAACCAAGGAAATGAGAATCACATTTATCGTCATTTCACACCTCCAAACTACTCTAGTGCTGAGAAAACTGCTAAGAGCCTGTCGGTTGAAATGACTCTATACTGTCCTTTGTAACCCTTCCCTGTCGCATTTAAGCTTTCTGAATTTTTCTCCTCCCTCTTTCCTATCACACTTCCTGATCCCAGAAAATGAGGAGTGCTCCCATTCTTGAGTGTCCTTAATACATCACTATGCTGCAATATGCTAATAGCTACCATCACCTTAAGATCCTGTAGAGGCTAGAAGGCAGGCTCCTCATTCAGAAACATCCCTTTGAGCAATCAGCTTGATGACACATGTCACTCAAAGCACTGACTACAGACAAGCCAAGAGTTCTCCTCTGGGTCCTGCGTCCACAGGCAAGGAGAGGAGCACTCACCAGGTAGCATTCTTGGGGCAGAGGCAAAAGGATGCAGTCAGTAGCCTTGTATAAGCGTGGTTGCAAATGCAGATTTGGGAGCCGAGAGCAAGGAAGTGTTGTAACCTGAGTTTTTACAGTAAACAAAACAGATTACCTGCAAATGGCACAGTGAAGAATCAAACGTAGCTAGTACTATTGATTAAAAAAAAACATAACAGATCTCATATGCAACGAGATACTAAGTTCATCACATCTCAGGAGAAACCACTGAACTTTCTCTGGAAAGATTCTGAAGATCCTTGTAGAATCAAAATCTCCTTCCACCCACCAAAGGCCTGGCTGCACCCCTGATCCGTGCTTTTCTGAGCTCCTCAGGTCTCCACACCAGAGCACAGCCATGGCTGGCCCGCAAGCAAAATGCACCAGGGAGAAGCCAGCCAAGTCTCACAGCACCACAGAGGACACTCAGGGAAGTGAAGGGCTATTTCAGATCCACCATGGCTGGACCACGGATCAATGTGCCCCAAGCACTGTCTTCTCTTCCTCCAGGCCCTTACCATGGCTGGTCTAAGACTAAACTCCAACGCAATAAGGGAGCTAAGGAAATCTTCTCAACAAAAAAGCTACAAACAGGAGCAGTTCTTAGAAGATTTCTTGAGTGAAACTAGTGGAACAGGCTGTTCAGGATGCTGGTACCAAGCTGCCTCATGAAGAGCAGTACAGACCATACAGGGATGAGGCTGAAACTCCAACGCAATAAGGGAGCTAAGGAAATTACAGCTGCCTCACGAAGAGCAGTACAGACCGTACAGGGATGAGGCTGCACAGTGCTCCCCAAAAGATATTATGTGTTGGCTTCTCCAACTCCATCAGGCAGGGTGAATCCAAATGCCTGCAAAAGGCTGCAGAAGATGAAAAGCTCCATGCGTGCCAACTGCTCACCCAAAAAAACATATGGAGCCCTGCAGAAAGGGCCTGAAAGGGCAATTATTGATCTTTATTACTGCCTTCCACCACACCCTTTGCTGTCCTGTCCTGCACTTTCTCTGAGGCAGTTGTTCCTTCTCAGAGCAGAGATGTCCCTGCAGGCTGTCATTCTCTCTCAAGGCTTGCTGTCTAAACAAAACTCAACCCATCCTTGCAACTCCACTTGCATAATCCATTGGTGCTACTCACCAGCCGGCAGAAAGGACATCAGGCACATTTTGAAAGATGGTTTCACATTTTATTCCCTCATCTGAGTAGCATTCAAGGTACATACCTCAACCCCTGTTAAGAATGGCAAGAAGCCTTCTCTGAAGAAAGTTTCCTTCCTCATGCAGGAATTGACCGGGGCTGGACTCCAGAGGTCTTTTCAAGTGCTCAGGAATCAGTCAGGACAGTGTATATTTGCAATAACCACGTTGTCCTGCAAGAAAGGAGGAGCTGGTCCTAAGCTGTCTCTTAGCCTCTCTCCCTGGCAAAGTCATCCATACAAAGAAACATAGAAAAACCCCTCAGGTTTTATTTACCGCACTGAGCAGAAGGCCATACACTGTATTGGCACAGCTGCTTTTTCTTGAATATTCCTTCTCCTCTTTGATTAGTAAACAAGATTGATAATCCCTTCCTGGATCACAAGCACCACTGCAACTAAGGAACATGCTAGTCTCTTTTCTTTTCATCTTTAATTGCTGCTGATCAGGCATCACAAGCAATTGATACAAGATTTATAATGTGACGGGATATACAATCAACAGCTTCATATAAGTGTTCAGATGTGTTCCATATACACAATGACTGTATTTGAGGATGTTCATTGCCACATCTGGAAGAATTTAAAAAGAAACACTTTGTCTGAAATCACTCACAACTTTTAAATAACATCTCAGTTCTGATCAGGTTTCCATTTCTGGGAACACAGCTAAGGCTGCTTACTTTGGCTCTGTAGTTCAGCACATTGAAGTTTTAGTTGCACAACAGCTGCACATCTCCTACACTCACACTTTCATACAGAGGGCATTATTTTCCTCATCCTGTGTTTCTGCCCAGGTATGACAGATGATTTATTTTTTTATCTAAAGGATTCATGGACACGTTTAGCACTGCCAGCTTCTTCCTAAAAACCCAAGCAGAAAGAGAAACAGAATTACTATCTCCTTGCATATTTTCATTGTCAGTCTTCAGGATTGAATGACTGTTTCTTGATTGAACTAAAGTCAGCTCCTGGGGAAAGGATCTGTGCACCCAAGGCACTTTCAGGAGCTGTACAGTCAGGAGAGACACGACCAGGAACACGAGAGCCTTACCAACAGAGCAGACCATTTCTGCTTTACAACAGAGGTCTGACTAGGGCAACAAGAGCTGTGGATGTACCATCTGAAGATACTTTATTCCGCTCCAAACCATTCCTTCTGAAAGAGTTCTTGTCATATCCAGAATAACAGGTACCTCATCCTCTTCCCTTTTGACCTCCTTTTACCCTTCCAGAGTACTAGGAAAGTATTCACTGGAGCTCATTCAACAAGCTTTTCTATCCCAACATGCTATGGCAATAAGAATCATGGCTGCAATTAAACAACAAACAGTTTGCCTTCAGGCCATTCAGGAGATAAGTTTGTGAGATGGAGCCACATAGGCTGAGCAAATTTCTTAAGAATTAATTGCAAGCCTAGGGAAGAAGAGTTCCACATGTAGAGCTGTATGGGTCTGGGAACAAATGGAATAGTCACCAGTGTAATATCATGATGGAAGACAGGCAGGCCTTCCTCAGATACTGAAATACTCCACGTGCTACAACTTCTGCTTAGCTGACCATATCCAGTTGGTTTGATGCCATGTTTTCCTCTCCCAGAACTCTTTTCACTACACATTCTCTGCATTTTTTAGATTACAATGGTCTTTGTAGCTTTAGTTTTAATTAAACATCTGCAGAGGCCTGACTCATGGCAGAAACCAGTAGATGCTCTTGTTAAAATAACAGCCAAAGGTGGTCATACAGACACAAAACCGAGCTGGTCAACTGGCCCCACAAATACCAGATTTACATGTGCAAAACAGTAACTGCCTCAACAGCTAAGTATAGATTCTCAGAGTTTAAACATTTTGCAGATTTCCCCCCTGCCCTCTGTCCCCCAGCTACTAAAGCCTGGAGGTAAAAATCTCTTTCCCCTGTGAAAGAAAGGGGCTGAATCTTTCCCACATAGTTAGAGGAAACAAAGGTACCTGCTTTGAAACACATACTTCAGCACATGTTATTCATCCAAATAAATCCCTGAAAGTTACAAGGCACTTTTATCAGTACTCTGCAATACTGAGTCTCTTTAAGGGTGTTTTCTCCAAGTTCAACTTGGAAATCCTTCTGTTTTATAACAGATAAATGTCACCATCCATTTATTCACTATGCATCCTGTTCCTCTGGAGCTGACTGCAGGGTGCTGCCAAGACTGTACAGCACTTCACAAAGCAGTGACACTGAAAGGACACTGGGCCTTTGTGGCTCCTACACCATTAGAATACACAGTGCCACAGCACCTGTGTAAAATCTGCATTGCTTTCACCTAAGCAGCACAAAATAATAATAAAAAAAATAAAAAGGAATGGAAAAACAAAATGAGGAATGTTTACAACAGTCACTTTTCTACTTAGTAGAAAGGGCTCTAGCTTTTACTAACACTGCTCTCTGCATGTCAGTGATGCACACTGTCTCAGCCCTCCACACCCTCAGAAATATGCCTGGAAATGAATAAATTAATTACAATTCTGTGTTGATAAAATGTTGGTAAATCTAAGATTATATATATACCATCTGGTTTTACTGTGGGATGACAAGGTACCTTATTTTTAGCAGGAAGAGTTAAGTGATGGATGTTACAGTTCATTGTAATGCAGAAGTGATAGTAGTTAAATGAACTCAGTTAATGTGCACGAATTGTGAATTAAGGACCAGAGTACAAAGTAATGGTGAGATCAAGCAGATACAGGCAGATGTTTACAAGAAAGCTTTTTGTAAGCAGTTTTTTTGGAGGAAAATCAGTTTTCCTTGTTCCAGGAAATACGTGAACATCGCCTCTCCATGCAAGCCTTGCTTATTCTTATCCAATAAATACCATTGCAAGAGCTCACATAGAGAGGACAGCTCTGAAAACCTGCTTTTGTAATGAAGATTTCAAGCCATACAAGTGTGAAGCAAATGAACCAGGGAGGGAAAGAACAGAACAGAGACAGCCATAGCTGCCATCTACATCTTGGCTTTCTATTAGTCAATCTTAAAGCTCTTTTGAAAAGTAGGTGTCAGGGTTGATTAGGCCCAGAGAGATAAAGCAAGTTCCCCAAGAGTCACAGACAAGCTATGAGCAGATGTAGGAACAGAATGTGAAGCTCCCAAATCCCATTCCAGTACTTTGTCTATGCAACCTAAACAGTTCATCAATCTTCAACATCACAGATGACAGTAGTGTGCAAAACCCTATCTTGTTTATTTATAATGCATGTGAGCAAAGTTCTCTTTTCCTGAACTGAACAGCAACACAGAATGGGAACTTTCTCTGCTCACATTTCCCAGTTGTGTGTTCAGTCTAGTTCTGTGCTCCAAGCACCACTCTCCCTCTGTCAGTGCTTGCCTGGATATACTCTGTCTGTATAATTTACATGTGGGAAGAGAATTCTGATGCCACCAACCAATTAACAGCTCCTGTTATGGAGCTCTTAAAGACTGGGGAATATAGGGGAGGAAGGAACAGCTAAATTGAGAAATCCAAATTAGTGTCTCCACTGGGAAAGAAAAAAAAAACACCAAAACAAATAAAAACTACAAAACAAAACAAAAAAAACCTGCTCAGCAATTGTCTGCTCTGTTTAGCTTGACATCAGGCCAGGCAGTAAGCACACGCTACCATGCCAAGCAACGCATGCACAGCATGGAACCAGTCAGTATTTTCTAATACACACTGAGCCTGCCCCTGCAACAGAAAAACCCAAGTCCTGGTATTTATGGGATAGCAGATGACACCCCCTCTGGGCAGAGGTGTACCAGGAACCCTTTCCACCCCCGGCACGCCACATTCATCATTCGTTTGCTTCACACCTTTCTGAAGATGCTGTTCTTTGCATGTCCTCTGCAGTTGGTGCATTTGCTTCCCACTCCTGTGGCCTGAAAACTGCATTACAACAGCAGATTTCCCCATCTGTTCAAACCAACCAAACATCTGTCATCTTGACTGGTGAGCTCTTGCAATAGTATTTGTGTCAGAGGAGAGCCAGCAAGATTTATGTGAAGAGCTACTGCTCACGTATACTGAAAATGTTAAGATAAGGAATATTGAATTCTTCTAAAACAGCTTCCCTGCTTTTCCTTTCCTTGTAAACTTCAGCCTAAGCTTTTCTGATGTAACTTTGCCTCACTGTGCTGCAGCATGCCCACAGCTCTTGCCCAGCAGCAGGAAAAACACACTGCCCAGTGTCCAGAAGGCCAGGCTCAGACCAAGCCTCTTGCAGATTGACACTGCAGGAGGGTCTCAGAAAGCAAGCAGAGGGACGGGGTCACGGAGAAGGCAGCACCACCACTCACACGGGATGCTCTGCAACACTGCCATGCACAGCACGCAGCAAAGAGAGGGGACCTCGCTAGTAATGGAGCAGCCCCATGTGTTTGAGAAGGCTTTATGTCAAATCGTGATAATGAGGACACACATTTATGATTGAATAATTTAATCAACATGGAGTACAATAGCAGGCCTATACAGAAAAGATGTAGTATTAGATCAGTCACTGAGCTCCCCCAGGGCTGAAGTGAGGCAACACCTATTAAAACACTAGTCAGAGGGGCTGCAAGGGCAAGAATCATAGAATAGTTAGAGTTGGAAGGGACCTTAAAGATCATCGAGTTCCCACCCCCTGCCATGAGCAGGGACACCTCCCACCAGACCAGGCTGCTCAAAGCCCCATCCAGCCTGGCCTTGAACCCCTCCAGGGATGGGGCAGCCACAGGTTCCCTGGGGAACCCGTTCCAGAGCTTCACCACCCTCACAGGAAAGAATTTCTTCCTAATATCTAATCTAAATCTCGCCTCTTCCAATTTAAATCCATTACCTCTTGTCCTGTCACTACACTTCCTGACAAAGAGTCCCTCTCTGGCTCTCCTGTAGGCTCCCTTCAGAAACGTCACAGAAAACAGAGACCTCAACACCACCACACAAAGTTGGGCAGACACCACACTGTGCCACAACACACAGACTCAGACCTTAGAAACTGTCATCAGTTGCTTCAGGCAGCACCCACTGAGGGACCTCAGAGCAAAGCTGCTGCTCATTCAATGAGGTGGGCACCAAGCAATGGCCAGACACAAGTGTCCTGGTGTCTTTATTTTTCTAATAATGCTTTCGCTTTCTGATTGCTCTAGGGCACAGCCACTTATGGGTTCCACAAAACATTAAGCTGGAAAACAACAGGGTTACAAAGCATAAAATAATAATCAATTGCATGCACACCAAAACTGAGGTTTAATAAAATAAGTAAGTGGACAAGGACAGTATTTTGTGATTTTAAATCTTTCAGTATAGAAGCTCACCAGAATTTGAGTATTTCACTCTAGGCTCTTTTTTTTTCCTTTTTAAGTTTCCTTATCATCACCATTATTAATAGGTAATTTCAAGGCTTAACTCATCTTAATTCTGGTAATTCTGACGTGCATAAATCCTACCCTCATTGATGGCATAACGTGCATCAACAGCCTTCAGTGGTCTTTCACTGTTGCAGAACTTCTAAACTTGGCAAATGATTCTGTGCACAAACAACAAGAAATAGAACAGCGCTCACTTCCTTTTAACCAGATGGGACTGGCTGGACAAAAGGGGAGGGGGAACAATACGAAGGAATGAAGTTCTGATGCACACAAGCAGCAAGTCAAGTTAGTTAGATTTCATCAAGTAACTGATTTTAAAGTCTCAAATAGCATCGAAACCTGGATAAATGACTGCTCAACAGCATAACTCAGTAACACTGAAATTTTTGGCAAACATAAGAGTTATCCTGGAACTGTCAAAATTTGCTGATAAAGCCATAAAAGGTATTTATTTTCAAATTGCTTCTCAGTTTTTTG